CTCTTCCTGTTTTTTTGCTTTTTTTTCCGCCCCCCCCCACAACCCCCCCCCCCCCCCCCCCCCCAGGGTGTGTTTGCTTCTTCTAACCCGTGTCCTCCTGAAATATATATGACATTTAACTAGAAATCACTTGGCGTGTCAGCAGGCTGTAAGAGGTAATGTAAGAAGATACACCTTAGTTAACTTGATAATGCTGGCCAAGCTCAGCGGGGTCACCTCCAGGCCTTTGTCCCGGTTCAACACTAAATACCTTAGATTATAAATGTAGTTTTGAGTTCTGTTTACTTTCTAAAATCACTTGTGTCCAACCATCATAACCTATAGGTATGTTAATCTTTTCACTAACAAAAAGAGCACTTTCAGCAACATTCATGTTTAAAGAAAACATGCCTTTTTGACTCTGTTTGAGACTGCCCTGTTTCTGTTGTGGCTGAGAGATGAGGGGTGGTTAAGTGTCCTTTATTTACTACAAGTGAAGTAAACCTGTTCCTCGAGTCCCTGTTGATGTCTAACCGTGGTTGCTCATAAACAGTGTCCAGATTACTCTTTGGATGCGTCCAGAGAGGAGCACTTCTTCCTGCAGCTGTAAAAACAGCCTCCCTGCCAACAGGAACCAGCCATGGCGATGCGCCCACGTGCGTCCTCCCAGCCCGGAATACTTTCCTTCTTCCAGAGTCCCAAGGTAGCTTCAGCCCTTCGACCGCGGGCCGTATCCTCGCACTCGGGCTCCGTGCTGGAGGAGGAGCTGTCTTGTCCCGTCTGCTTTGACATCTTCAAGGACCCCGTGGTGCTCAAGTGCAGCCACAGCTTCTGCCGATCCTGCCTGCAGCAGTTCTGGAACAAGAAGAAGGCCAGACGCGAGTGTCCCATCTGCAGGAGGAAGTGCTCGCTGACGGAGCCCACGGTCAGCCTGGCGCTGAAGAACGTGGCCGACACCTTCCTGAGGGAGCAGGACCGCAGGACGGCCGGAGCTGGCGCAGGGGAAGGAGCCGGCGGGGCGGGGGCGCAAGAAGGGATGCTGGAGGTGAAGTGCGTCACACACGGGGAAGTTCTCAAGCTGTTCTGTCTGGACGACTTTGAAGCTCTCTGCTGTGTGTGTCACACCTCCAAGAAGCATCAGGGACACAGTGTGTGTCCTTTGGAGGAGGGAGCGCAGGACTTTAAGGTAATGTGTTCTTGTTTATCTGCAGTTTTTAAAGTTTTTTTATTTATTTATTTATTTTTATTTTTTATTTTTTTAAAAGGACTACATGCTTCCAATCATTGGTGGAAACTCACTGAAGGGTTTAAGCATTGTAATCACCTTTGTCAGATTTCACAGCAGTGAACAGTAGTTTTTTTCCCTGACCTCCCTTCTGTGCAAAGTCAGAAACATTTGTTTTTCCCCCCTTCAGGCAGAGCTGAAGGAAGAGCTGATTCCTCTGAAGAAACACCTGTGTGGCCTGTATGAAGCCAAGCAGGAGTGTGATGACACAACTGTGCACATCAAGGTATCAATAAACCTGAGAGGACCCGCATGCCCGCAGGCGTGACTGTGACTGTTGGTGTTCAAACATGTCAGTCAAGGTGTTATTAAAAAAACACCCTTTTTCCGTTTGGGTCTTAAAGACACAAGTTCTAAATCAGGAATGTTTGATGAATTCATAACTAAAGAAGCCTTACTATATAGTATATTTTACATAGCTAGCACAGGTATATTACACTTTTATAGGAAACAAGATGCACACAGGCAAGTTAAATCTAACTAAAGGTAGTTATTTATTGGAGATGTAGATAAAGAGGCTCACATAGGTGAGATAGTTGACTATCGGTCACATCGTTGTACATTCGCTGTATTTCTGTGTTGAGCCTTACTTTCCTGTGTGTGCTAGAACCAGACTCAGGCCACAGAAAAGCAGATCAGGGAGGAGTTTGAGCAGCTGCGGGGGTTTCTGCAGAAGGAAGAGACTGCTCGACTGGCTGCCCTGCAGCAGGAGGACGAGGAGAAGAAGGAGCTGCTGAGGAAGAAGTCCGAGAGCATCGCGAGAGGCATCCTCACCTTCTCGCACGCCGTCATAGCCATTGAGAATGAGATTGCTTCCAGTGATGCTCTCTTCCTCAAGGTAAGTGTTTGTAAATGGTTCTCTCTGAATTCATCTAAACATTCATGCAAACAGTTTGTAATGCTCTCTTTTCCCTCTTGATTTCAGAATTATACCAACATAAAGAAAAGGTAACCGCTTAATTATCTTCCCGTATACCAGATTAAGCTTTCTAGTGGTTCAGTATTGATAGATTCCTGTGTGTGATTCTTCTCACAGAGCACAGATCCAACAGAATGATCCAGAAAAAGTGTCGGGCGCTCTTATAAATGTGGCCAAGCATGTCAGTTCCCTCAAGTACCATGTGTGGGAGAAGATGGCGGAGCTGGTTCAGTACAGTAAGCACATTTGGTGACATGTTAAGTATCATTTTGTTAACCAAGTCGGCATAACTTTTTTTATTGCAGGTGTTACTCAATCAATAGTTTGACCTTCAGAAAGACCAGCGTGTCAGTGAAGGCTTTTTAAAATGTTTCCTGTTTAAACAAAGCAGTGTCCCTTGAATTTCAACACGATCACCGTGTGGTTTTTGTTTCTTTCCCTTCCAGCACCCATCAGCCTGGACCCCAACACTGCCTACTCCTGGTTGTCCCTCTCTCCAGACCTGACCTGTGTCACCAACAGCGGATGCCTCCAGAAGCTCCCGAACAACCCCGAACGTTTCGGCCACTTTGTGTTCCTGCTCGGCTCAGAGGGCTTTACTTCGGGCCGCCACGCCTGGGAGGTGGAGGTGGGCGACAAGGCGGACTGGATGCTCGGAGTGGTCAAGGAGTCCATCGACAGGAAAGGCCAGATTTCTGGGTGTCCCGAGGGCGGGTTTTGGATGATCTCGCACTACGAGGGCGAGTACTCGGCCATGACGAGGCCCAGCACCCCGCTGCATCCTCAAGGTGAGCTGACCCGAGTCAGGGTGCAGCTGGACTACGACGCCGGAGAGGTGACCTTCTCCAACCCCGTCAGCATGACGCCCATCTACACCTTCACTGACTTCTTCACTGAGAAGATGTACCCCTTCTTCTGCCCTGGAGCCAACATCAACGGGAACAACCACAACCCGCTTAAGATCTGCCCCGCCAAGGTGGCTGTGTGGAACAGTGCCTCTTGGTAATTTGACTAAACAAACAAAAGAAAACTCAAAGTGTATTTCAAATTCAAGAAATCACCAAAGAGTGTA